AAACGATCAAATGAGTTCGCACAATTTATTTGTCGATTAAATTTGGTTGCTTCATTACTGAACAAATTATTGCTATAGTGTAAATTTATGAGATATATTAAGAGATAATTCATAAGAGTAATTAATTTGAAGTAAATATGCATAAATAAGACAAATGTAACGCAAACAAATTAGTTGACAGTAATATTTTTAGTGACGAAAAATTGTGTCACATTTAAATATGATTGACATGCAATATTTTGTTAAGTTATTAAAAAAAAAGAAAAATTTAATTGGGAAATTTCCTTACTTAAATTAAAAATTTTCAATAAGGAAATTTTAACGAAAAAAGGAAAAAGAAAAAAGAGTTTTTTTGTTTATTCCTGTTGCGCCTTCCATTCATCTCTCCTCCTGTGACTGATTGTATATACTTTTTTTGCTGTAAGGATTGCCAAAGGGGAACCTATCGGCGATTCTTTTGGGATTTTAGAAATTCTATATGATGAAGCGGAATAGGAAATTACGAGTGAAAAGCTTCAGTGCAGACTATGCGGAATACCGTCCGGTAGGTAATCGTTTTTTTTTTTTCATATTTCTAATGTACAGTGCAATTTTGCATTATATTGATAGTATTTTTTATTCCATTCATTATGATTTTAGAGTTGTTTTTTCTTGTTTATTTTCGAAATGAACAAGTTTTGAGTTGTAGCTGATAATATGTTGCTTTGTTAGTTCAATTCGAGATCATCTGTCATTGGACGATTCATTGATTGATGAGAATGGTTCAGAACAAACAATAAATTTTATTTTCAAAATTGTGAATTTCCGAAGCATTTTAAATAGAAAGATATTTTTCTAGAATTTTTAGAATTTAGATATCAAATGGAATCTCATGCAAAAATTGTAGATTTTCCGGAAGTTCTGGAAACGAATTGTTATTTGCAAACAAGTTGTGATGAATGTTTAATAAGTTCCCACAGATAACAGCAAATATGCTGAGAGAGAGAGAGAGAAAGTCATTTCCTGAATTGATAAGTAACATGCTATGTTGTGGATTGCCATGAAAACATAAAGACGGAAATATTCATTTTCCGCCAACACATGCTGGTTATATCTGTTCAGGTTAAGTGAAATAATTCAGGTTGGATTAAATTTCGTAATTTGTCACCAGGAATCTGACATGAGCAGAGCAAAATTAATTAATTTGTACTTTATATGGAACGAAATGCACAAATGTATGATAGTCTCCTAATACTACCTGTATTTTTATCTATGAACGAACGTTTAACAACATGTATAACAACATTGTCGCCTCCAATTTCACACAATATCTATAATTCAATAATACATCAGTCAGTAATAATGATATATTTCTGTCTGCATGTACCACTTTATCATTGAGACCTATGGAACTGTTAAATTTAATTTATAATCGTAATTTATCATATCTGTTATCAATAATAGTTGAAGAGGACTATTTCTACAAGTATTAGCTGATTTCAAACCAAATCATTTCCCTGAACTGTCTTTTCTGGATACTTTTCTGATCATATCTTCAAATCTGCATCTTTTACGGTCTATACAAATATCAGGAATACAATATTCTCCAAACTACAACGGTATTTTCAATTTTGTTTTCCAATTATATTTCTCCTTTATGTTAACAGGAATATTTTCGTCTTTTTTCAAAAATATATTAATATTAGACCACTTAAAATTTCACCAAATATATCAAAATAATAGAAAAGATCAACCTGAAATACATACACATGTTACAGAATGAAAGATAATTCAAATTTAGGGCGCAAAATGATATGATGGAGGAATGATTCATCATTTTAATGCTTGATGTTAATCCAAATTGAACAACCATCAATGACGTAGTATTTCTTTCCTAAAGATGATTATAAGTTGCATGCATAATCCATCAAACAATTGGAATTCAAAGGAAAGTATTAATTTCAATCAGTCGGGAAATAATCCTATTAAGTTTAAAAAGAAAAAAAATTGAATTTTTATGAACGAATGGAATAAATGTTGCATATTGATTAGATGACACAAGGGAGAAAGAATACAGAATACGATACTTCCAAACACAAGAACTGATTAATTCATTGATTGATTGATTGATTAATCGATTGGCTGATCAACAATATTTGGTATCAAATATTCATTTAATCGATGGTTGATCAAAGAAATTTTACAAGGCAGACAACCTTCAACCATTACCTTTTCATTATTACAATAATTCGTTAACACAGTTGTAACTTTGACTATAGCTTATTCCTTCCTTTTCCCTTACTGATTTTTGAGTGATATGATAATAATGAGTTATCATTAGTTGCTAGTAATACTAAAATAATAATTATTATTGTCAGTACTTCGCTTTTCATTGCAAATGGAATCGCCGTTTTTTTTTTCTCTCTCTCTCTCTCTCTTTCTCTTTTCCTTTCCTTCTTAACTTTTTTTTCGTGTCACAATTGTCAACAATGTTATCGAGTAGTTATTTAGTAATGAATATGATATGATAGTATGAATGTTTACTTTCATGTTTTGTTTTGTCCTTTCCTTCTGTATCACTCGAATGTCATCATTATCATCATTATCATTATCAAAGATCCAATACATATATACACAACCATGGATGGATTTACGTTTTTATACCTGGAAATGTGTGCGTGCAGGTGTGTATGTATGTATGTGTGTGTGTGTCTGTGTGTGGTGTGTGTGTGTGTGTGTGTATTTATACAACATGTTGTAAATCAACGGTTACACCCCAGTAACCGGTTTTTTAAAATATCATTCGTTTGGGGAAAAGGAGAGAAAAGACGAACAGAACAGTGGTATTCACCGGAAGATGGGCGAAGCAGGAACATTTTATTTTTAAACTTTTTCATTTGTCTTAGAAGCCTACTTGTTTAAGCAATATTGAATTTTAACTCAAAGAGGACTCTCAATTTGACTTTTCATCATTTTTAAATTTCGTTTTTTTTGAAGTTTATCAGTAGTGAATTTTTTTTTAACTAAACCTTAAATTAACTGTTCTTCGTTTATTTTTATATGCTATGTCAAGATTGAGTTGTGTATGTACGTATCTGCCGGATAGCTTTCTGGTTTTCTAACATTACTTTTGATATTTGAGCCGATGATACTGCTTAGTATCTTCGGACTTGTGTCGGAGAAAAATTGAAATTAGACTAGTCTTGAATGATTTATCGAGTGGATGGGAAAGTGCCGCAAAATTAATGATTGCAATTTCTAATGACCAAAAGAGTGACCATATGATAAGAATGAAATTAAGTGAGCTTAATGCTTGTTGATATGTTGCGATGATAGTATAACAACAACGAGTGTGTTTTGAGTGACGAATGAAAAAGACATCAAATGAAGCGTTGAAGAAAAAAAGAAATTTTGAAAAAGTACAAAATGAAAGAAAAAATTGAAAAAGAAAAAAAAGATAATAAATAATTATTCAAATTTAGCATTATTTGGCATATAATTTTACTTTGAAATTTTTCCATGAAAATTAAAAAATTGATTTTTATGAATATTATTAAATGATATATGTTGAACTATATTATCTCTTTAAAGGATATTAAAATTGAAATGAAAGATATAAAATTATTATTCTATCTTTCAATTTAAAATTATGTCATCTAAAGGATTTGTGTGATGTGACATCACATCACTACGGAATCGTACAGATGATAGGGAAGAGATTCACATAATGGGAGAAATTGCCAGTAGTTGCGGCAGGTTTTTCATAATATTATCATCGTTTCAGAATCGTTATCCTTCTATGGATCTTGATCGAAGGTATGAATATTGCAATGCATTCCACATCGAATATTACGACGAATATGGTTAATCATTTTCTTACTTTTTTTTTCGATAAATATGAATTCAGTTTATGTAGAAAAATGAAAAATCTATCCATAAAGATATCACGACGAAATCTATTGTCATAAAATGTCTCCAATTAACTGTTTCCAATGAATTTAGCAATCTTTCGTGCTGAAAACCAGATGACATGAATAATTTTAATGGTTTACATGACAGCCGAATCTTACATTTGTCTTATCGGAAAGCCCTTATCAAAATCTTCTTTTAAAATTTAGCTTACTTTTGTACTTTGAAAATTTTAAAACGAAACAAAATAGAGCATTATTTGGGAAGAAAAAAGGAAGATAAAAATGTTGACAATGAGCATATCATGGTGACACACAGTCAAAAGCTTATTACACATTATATACTCTCTGCTATTCTGCAGCACTGGTCTTGGTAAGTTCTGATAGATCCTAGTATCAGTCGTTGAAGAAATTATTTTAGTTCGTTTGGTTCTGTCAGTTATAATTGTAACAATGTATCAGTATCACGATCTTGAGCCTATCTAGATTATAATCCTCATTCATAATCACACTTCTGGTTCTAATTATTATGACTTAGTAATGGGTGTTTTGTTATTCACAGTTTAACCTTTCTGTATTCTCTATACGATTAACAAAATTTTTATAATTTGACCAATCATATGTCATTTATCAGTTATTTTCCACTGATTGTCACAAGAAAATATTATTAGCGAAGCTAAAAAGATGGAAGGAAATATATTCTGCATAATATGTTCAAATGCCACCATTTTCAAATTATTTCAACTTATCTTAAATTTCTTATTGTTCATATTACTGTTGACTAAGAAAAGGTTTTCTGAAGAATCATATTTTTTTTATAATTATTCGCAAAAATTCCTTTTCATTTCAAAAGGATTTCCGTTAATTTTCAAGCGTTAATTTAAAATTTCATTTTTTCCTATTAGGAATATATCAGTCCAAAGATTGACATCTTGAATCTGTTTCTTCCTTCAACCGATATTCGTTAATCAGGAAGAAGTACGTTTCATAGTTGAATCCAACTTTGATGTTTATGACAGATTCTGATTCTGACTTACGGAAACTTGAATAACATATCAAGGATTTATAATTAAAATAATAAAAGAGAATTCCTAATTAAAATAATCTTTTCTAATGGCCGATATATCATATGTCCTCATTATCGCTCAAATAAGTGAAGTTATGAAATTCTCGGTAAGGAGTTGAGAGGAGAAAAAAGTTCTAGCGTCCCGAGAAGACAGTATTTTACAATAGAGTTATCGATCGCTTGTTACAGAAAATTTCGGAACCAATCAATATTTCCATTCATATGACGTCATTTACATGTCACAAAAATGGAATATTCATTTTTGATGTATTATTTCTCGTTATTGTGCTTCTCTCATTTTTTCGACTTCTTCAGGACGTGCGGTCGGAATTCCGGAAAAAGTACAACCGTTGCCAGGACAGAGACTACGTGACTGCTTAGATCACCGTTTACGTCAACGTGGCCTAGTACCATCGGCAGTGTTATTTTTCGTGGAAAATTCCCGAACACCACTTCCGGATAATTGTGATGCTAATTTCCTAACCGGTCAACGGATTGTTGCACGAGGTAGTTTTGTATCATATTTGCTTAGGAAATGAATCTTTTTGATTCACATGCTAATCAGCTGACCTTTAACTCTTGTTCCTTTTGCTTAAAAAAGTCATTTCTTCGTGATTTTTTTTTTTTCACTTCCCATGAACAATCATTTAGAATGAAATTTTATGGCAAGTAATCCAACAAAAGATTGCACTTTTTACCTTGAAATTTGACCGATAAACGCTACAATTATTATAATTATTAGTTTTATTATTCAACAACAAACTTGTCAAAATTTGCATAATTTTAGAACTTCAATTTCTTTGAGATTGTAAATCAAAGCCGTACGTTGTCATCATCCTCGAGGTCATTCACAAATTGAATTGTATTATAGTATTAATAACCGGATGTTATTGACGGATAGCAATAGTAGTAGCAGAAATGGTAGTGGAAGGATAATACTATCACATACAATGTTACTACATTCATTGATGTTGAAGGGAATTTCCTTCCACCTCATCAAATCAACCTTTCTCATCCTCTTCCTTATTAGTTCCCATTTCTGATGGTTTATCATTACTAAGATTATTTCCTCATTGTTATTTGATAAAACTATCTCACAATACCGTATTATTCTTATTTTAGAATATCAATAATATCTGACTTATACTATCATTAATTTGAGTAGCTTAGATTGAAAAACTTTTTTGATATGATTCCATTGTTTTTATTCATTATCATTTTTTAGTTTAAAAATTTTATTGACTTTAAGTTAGTCATCCTATATTAATGAAACGATCATAATTTCCTTTCATATCGTAATTTTTATATTTAGCTCATTGGTTTGCTTGCTAAGATGGATGATGCTTCTACTGATTGATTGGTTATTGAACTGATGTTGAAGACTATAGGATAAAACAGCTGTAGGAACGGAAGCATCGGTTTAAATTCTGAATTAGCAAGATGATAGCAATATTAGTTGTCATCCAGGAAGACTATACCTTGAGTAGAATCACACTGAGTAACTTGGGGAGAAGCAAATGGTGCTGATAGATGAAAATGAATGGTGAATAGTGCTCTTCAAGTAGTTTAAATTGATAAGTATGATATGGATGAAGTGATGAGTAAATGCTAAAAAGTGATAACACTCCAATACGATATGTTGGATAAAAGGGAGCCATTAAACCGCCTATTTGGTGATAGGTAAGGTAGAGAGATGAACATTTCTATCAGAATCATTTCAACTAAGTAACTTTTTATTTTTGCTCATTCAAATATTTTCATACACATATAACACTCCTAATAATTAATTTGAATTTTGAAATTAGGGTCTGAAAGTAAAATCTGGAAGTAAAATTTCGCTCTATTTTTCTAAAATTATATTTTTCTTTTTTGCCATTCCAGAAATACTTACGAAAATGAACTGGTTTGACACACCTCGACAAATACTGATATCAAATGTTAAAATTATCTTTCCGAACAAACACACAAATTGTTTTTAAATGTCACTTTAGCTCACCCCCACTCTTCTTGCTTTTTTCATTTAAAACTAAAATTTAAAAGATTAGTTTAGTAGCACAAAATTCTTCTTAAATTATCAACCTCTATCTTTTTTATTCGAGAAAAAAATGCTTATTAAAATGAGCTGGTTTGAGTGAAGAAGTTTTTAAAAGCGTTCTAAATTTATGACGAAGAATTTTATGGTAATAATAAATAATGATTTATCATTATGTTACCCACTTGCACAAGTTTATTTTCCCTCAAATTGTTTCTTGCTATTACTGATACTACATTTTCATCATCATCATCACTATCAGTTGCTATCATTAATACATCTCATCATGATAATCATCCTGGTTAAATGACCTGAGCTTTGCTTCTTACCATTCCTTAATCTTCTATCTTTTTTTCCCCCAATTATCATTTATTTATTGATTTGTTTTAACATCCTATTATAAATTAATTCCATTTTCTATTGTCAAGCACAAAAATTTTTTGAATTTCTATTTTGTTTCACAAGACTGATTGATTGATTGGTGTATGAGATTGTTTGAAGAGATTTCTGGAAGAAAAAGAATTTTGTCGAGAAAGAGAGGTAAGACCAGGTATGGGATGATGGGAAGTCAGAAGATCTATTTGGAAAGATAGATGGATGAATAAATGGAAGAATTAGTCAGTCTTATTCATAGCCTTAAATACTTTTTTTCAGATTAATTTGAGGAGTTCAAATTTTCCAACATTTTTTATTTTCTTTTGCGGTCTTTGAATTTTTCTTTCAAAAAAAAACTAACAAATAGAATTTTTTTATAACGGACAACAAAGAAATGTTTAAAGTGAAAGAGAAGTTTCTTATTTATTTTGAAGATACATTTGCATTGATTTGTTAAGAGACGTAATATGTTCTAATACCCATGATATATGCACCGGGTATAAGTCCTAGAAGCTTCAGGTAAATTACCCACCATCGTTCATCTATGCTACTTGTTAGTTAATGATTTTGAAATTGTCCACTGATGCCCTCTGTCACTTGAAGGACTTACTAATGTAATTAAATAATTAAATAATAGCATGTATTAGTATTGGTTAAAATATTTAAAAGATAAGTTAACTGCAGTCATATTGCAGTAATTGCTTTTAATTGGATTAATTAGCAAGGAATCAATATTGTCAGCGTTTACGTCAATGCGGAGGAGTAAGTACGGATTGATACATTATCATAATCGTTTTATCCAGTATTACATAATAAGATAATCGTATTATTCGTGATAATGAAATGACATTTTCTAGTGAACAAATGAGAGGACAAAGAATGAAGTGATAAAACGTTTCCATTTATCAGAAAGTGTGAAATGTAATGATAAGAATGGATAACTTCGGGAAGTATCTTTTTTTGATTAATATTTCAAGCGGTAGAAAGAAGTTGGTTAAAAGAAAGTAATTGTAAATCTTAGTGAAGGATTTTGTAACTGATCGGTGCTATCAGCGCATAACTGATATTATTTCCAGTTATTAAAATCTGCTATCACTTTTGTTGAAAACTCGGCTATTATAAGCCAATAAATGATCTGATCTCAATCAAAATTGTGATACTTAGATCCTTATCAAAATTGCTAGCAAACTTTGGCTATAACAATGGGAAATTCATATCCTCTGAGTCACTTATCTTCTATTCCGATCTTTCATCTCCACCATTTCCTTTAAGGAATTAATCTTTGGTAAATTTGAAATATTAAAATTTTATGTTTACATTAAAATACTTGTTTAGCTATGCAACGAAATAACGTTCAACAACAAACGACGTAAATATCACGTTTTCAGTACGTAAAGGAATGACACGATTCGGGCGAAGTCGAACTCAACAGTCCCTAGATATCGATATCAATGATACAAAACCAATCCGGAAAAACAGCGATGACAGTGTATCGTCTTGGAGGAGTTCGTTGGTCAATTCAAAAATGGTTGGTGTTTAATTATTTATATCTTTAGACTTTCTTAATGAAAACGTTTTCTGAATGATTTCTTACTTCCATTAATCTTTGTTCTCTTATTCTTTTACACCACAAATTGCAACTATAGTAATTATAAATTGAATGAAATAATTTGGGAAAGGTTTTGAAATAATTGAGATAAACGAATTTGTGATTTAATTGCAAATTGGTTGAAATGATGGAAGTTAAGTTTTGTTTTAAAAACAACTTTTAACTGTATCCTCTTATATCTTATTTTTAGGCTTTAATTAGCTGTTTAAGACTTAAGTTGCTATTATCTTAATTCAGTCTGACTAATTTTTTAATAATAAACTAGTTCCCATTGAATATTTCAATTCTGTTAAAGGAACAGAAACGTGGGCGTTTTTCTTTATTTAAGTGAAACTGTTTGTCAGCAATTGGTTTTCTTGCTATTTGTTTGATGTATTCAATTCTTCCAACATTTTCATCTCTTTATGGTAAAATTTTCGAATTTTTGTCGATCCCATAATTTGGAAAAAGCAAACGGAATGCAGTTAGTATTTCTTAAAAAAATTCTATTTATTCCTGAGTTTTTACATCCGTCTGATAAGCTTAAAATCATTTCCGCCTTTGATTTTAGCACGAAATCGTTCTTCCATTTCCATTTCTTTCATATTAACCATTTGAAGTCATTAAGTCCGACAATAAGTCGTTACTAACTTTTCATTGTAGAATTTTTTTTCTCTCTTAGCAGCTACAATTACTTTGATTTGGAACAAACAAAAAATTCAACAGTTATTTGAAACATCAGGACAGACAGATTTTTTCAATTTTTGATTGGTGGAACCTTGTCATTCTGCACCACTCGTCAACTCTTCTTGATGTACTTCGATCGGATTCTACCATTGCATATGCCAAAGAACGATTAATTTTTATCTTCATAAAGGCATCAAGTTCAGCTCCGCTTCGTACCTACCACATACCCATCCTTGTCAACTTCTCTCCTCTCCCCATCTTTGTTTTCATTTTTCAAGGTCACACATTCCTCACTTCTTCATCACTCCGTTTTATTTAGGATGGCTCTATTCTCGAGTAGATCGACTACTGATGCTATTTTCATTTCCATCCTTATTTGTTATCACCTCATAAATGTGATTACCCTAGTGTTACAACTTTGTCATTAGCGACAGATGACAGGATCTCATTCCCATTTCATGATATATGTGTTCTGTGATATTGTAAAAGGGATGGATGCATCAGTTAGAGAAAATACTGGTAAAAAAAATTAGGAATCGGTTAAATTAAATATTTCGAAACTAAATATAGGAACGATAGACAAAAAGATGGATTGTGCGATTTGATCGGAATCAAAGACTGTGATAAACTTGAAGATGTGCCAAGAACGCGGGGAGGATTAGTTATGGAGCATGTTTTCTAAATTTTTAATTAGGACAGTTGTTGTTGTTCGTAAATTTTGGGCGAAGTTTAGATAGATTTACCCCATTTGGTATAAATGTTGAAATTTCAAATGGATTTATAATTATTTAATTAATAGTTGAAACTAACATTTACTATTGAAATATTTGTAGAAATGCTAAAAATTTTGCTACATACAAAGTAATTGTGCACTTTAACAAAGCTAAATATAATATTTTAGGTACTGTAAATATCCGATTAATACTAAATTAACCTTCGTAATAAAAATCAGTATGAAAATAATTATGCGCAAATATTTCCGCAATAGTATTTGCAACTTCTCTTCCACAAATCCATATTTGCTGTAGTGGAAGTGGAAAGATAAAACTTTCTGTTCATAGAACATATTGTTTTGAATAATTATTTGTTTCTGCCCCAAAATATTTTATTGGTGCTTGAAAGTTTTACCTTTCAGTCCTTCTCATTTTGGAAGGATTTTCAAACAATTTTGCACTAAAGAATTTTTGAGAAATTTTAAATTTCAAAAAAGGAAAAGTTTTAGAACAAACTCTAAATTTCAAAAAAAAAGTAAAAGAAATTTTTCAAAAATATTTCTCATGAAATTTCTACATTGTTAACAGCCTTGATTATCTTATTATTATCCCTTACATTGTTGCGTATAGTTATTTTACGTAATTTGTTCCATGTTACTTCACACGTAGTAGAATAGAAACAATGTATCATGACATTCGTAATTTTAGATGACAACTTTTAATCTATTTGTTATTAGGCTTGCTTAGCTCAGCCTAGTCTAGACACCTTTTTTGTATTTAATAGTGTTTCTGGAACGAAATTAATAAATTTCTATTCTCTCAAACATTCTATTCAACTTGAAGACTACAAAAATGTTTAATTGGACTCTTAATTACTGGAGAGACGAAAGAAAGATTTTCTTTCCTTTGATCCAAATTAAAGCCAAAACCAAGTTACTTTAGGATTTTGCAAAAGGAAAAAATAGTGGGCAGTGGAAGAATAACTTCTTGTTAGTTTGAAAAGCTGTCTTTACCGGAAGAAAGTGTCTTTTCCGGAAAAGAGCACATCCCATTGATTAGAAGTCTTTAAAATTTCTAATTATCCCCATTCACATTAAATTAGAAAGAGAAACTAATTTTGAGTTTTTGAGTATTTATGACAACAACAATGTAACACTTATCAATATTAGTTCACATATCAAACAGAAGTTTCAATATTTAAAAATAAATCGTTTATTTTCGAGTTTCAAATCAAATTGTAAAATAATTATTATGCTAATTTGCAGCAATCTTTTTCTTTACTCTTATTGATTAAGTTATTTCAACATATATATTCCATTGTTTCAGTGTTGCTCTCAAAATTTCTTTCATTTTAAATTTTTTCATGTATTTTCTATACCAACCTATCAATTTCGAGCATGTTTTTTGAGGGTATATATATATCAAATTAGTGCCAAAAAAGTTGAGAAAATAAATCGAACTAAAAATTACTAGTCAAAACAAAATTTGAATTTTAAATGAGTAGTAATATGTGAGTTACCCTCAGAAGCATCTTAATTTTAATTTTCTATCAAAGATAAATTGTTGAATAAACAATTATTAAAATTTATGTACCAATAAATTAAAGAATAAATGAGCAAGCAAAATGCATGCAAAAAAACTTTCTTGCTAAATCTGAAAAATTGAATTAGTGAGTAAATCTTTCGCATAATAATATTAAGTATGGTAGTTATTTATATCTTTTTCTAAAAGACTTGCTTGAATTTTTTCTTTTTTTTACTTGGCTTCTTTTATCTTTCGTATATTCGAAATATTTTCTTCTTTAATTGTTGTCTCATCAAATATGCAAGTAGTTCTCTCCTCGTAAACTATTAGATCAGGTAATTTAAGCAGCTAGTTTATCATTCCTGTTTCCGTTTGAAATCAAAATATTATATTAGCAAGAATTAGCAATTAAAATGGCTTAAGCTCGGCATTTAGTCTTATTTAAAATGAATAACTCGATAAGACTTGAAAAACTTGTTCTGCTTCGCTTTGCCTTTTTTAACATCAAAAAAAGCAAAAATTCAAATTTAAGTGACTAGAAATCGTGATCTCTTTAAAAATATGACGTGCGTGGTAAAAATAGAGCAATTATCGGAATTCGTCATTTGTTCTGGACAATTTCGACAAATCGGAAAGGAAACCGGTTTTGATTCTTCAAACTTCGTACAATCAAGCATTGCCTGAATATCTCTAACATCCCCGCTTGTAATCATCTATTCATGATAAATGATTTTTTTAAAATAAATGTTTAGCAATTTAGTTATTTAACTAGAAACTATTCAGATTAACAAAATGAGGCTCATTTTCATAATTATCAATTATTCCATACTTTTTTGTAATTCTCCGATTACTAGACGAAAATGCAAAAATGTTTTTAAAAGGATCAAAAAACTACCTCCAATTCCAATTTCCATTCATGGATTGACTTTTTTTCTTTTGTAATTATAACTTAATAAATGTTTAGTTTGCAAATTTGTTAGATTTTCTTAATTAAATAATTGTCATATTATTTGTTATTAATTAATCATTATTAGTGATCGCTTTCATTTATTCCCATCATCATGTCATCATTGTGAACATAATCACTTTATCATTATCATTACCATCATATTGCCTTATTCTTTAATATGAATTCTGATCAATGTTATACTTTTCCGTTATTCATATAAAATAAATCATTGTCAACTGTTTTCGAATAGATTTAATTGTGACACTTTTAATTTAATAGCATCATCTTGGCTTAATCAGGCTTAACCAACATTTGGCTATTCGTTGTTATCCTTAAAATATCGGTTTGTCATATAGTTTTGCACAACTTAGCGAACTTTTGGCATTATAAGTTAAGGAATCCAAAAGCCTCAGGCAAATTTCGATTATAGGAAATATTTTTTCCCTTTTTTTTTGTTTTTTTCTTTTGGTCTCTCAATCTCTTCTTATTCATAATTCATTTCTTTTTAATTTTTTTTTCTTTGAGACTACTGAATCTTTCATTTATCTCGTCTCGATGTGATTAAGATTGAAATTGCTCTTAGTCTGACATTTTGCATCAAAAATCATCAAATCATTGAGGCTATCAGTTTTATTCTCCATTTCTTTTACAGAACATTCTTTCTGGTAGGGTTGACATTTTTTTAGTGTCTTCAGTAATTTTCTTTTTTTCCTTCTCTCTCTCTCCCTCTTTTCTTTGAATTTCTTATCCGGTAAAATTGGGAAAACGGAACGGATAGAAAGGAAATCACTTATGCTGGTAGCAAAGAAAAATTGAATTTATAGCCATTCTTTCGTCGAATTGTCTTTTAATGCTTTCAATTCATAGCCAAAACATTATATGTGAAAAAGAGAAAAGGTCGGAAGGGAAGGTATTTTTTTCAGATTTCATTTTTCATTACATTATAACTTTGGGTCGAGAAAAAAGTGGATAGTCTTAGAATTGGAATCTTAATTAGAATATTTGGAAACTCCATATTAGCCTAATCAATAAAAGGTCATCGATTATTGCTTAACTTAAATTTCTGA